TCTACAGTTGCTCATGTGTGACGGACTGGATCTGCATCAACAATATTCATTTTACAAAGAACTGATTTAAAGAGCATTTTCACTTTTCTCACCATGTGGTGTATTTACACTGCCACACACTTTTATCCAGTGACAGCAGGCTGATTTTCAAATCCCAACCCTCCAAAGACTCATTCTGACTCAGAAACATTGTGGTTGTGTGTCAGTTTTATGGATTTATTTCATTTTAACAAGAGACAAGCCTGCAGACTATTAAAACATGAAAGAAAGGAATTAGATGATTCTACAGGCTGTGATGTACTTTTATTTCTGATAGGTCTAACTTATATATAAATTAGTCAGCCAGCTGTACTCTAAATCTTCACTGGCAAAAAAGATCCAGTTTGTCTGTTTCCACCCTGATTGGTTTTCATTTCAGTTTCAGAGCCTCTACGAAAGACACGTCAACACATTTAGGTGTTTTTAAGATTCATTTTACTCATGAAGCTTTACAGAATATTAGATTTTGGCAACTGCACTAAGTTTCTGGGTAAGTAATGAAGCTCTTTTGGAAGATGCATTGTGATTTTTTTTTTTTTTTTTTTTTACATTTGGAGCTGTAACAAAAACATTACTTATTCATATGAAAATCTAAATATTCACTTTTTTGGAAGCTCAAATGTAAAAAAAAAATAGCTGCTTCTCTTTTTTCCCCCCACTGATTAAAAGATGATTAACTTTGTGGTTTAGATTTTTCATTTTGAAATAAATAAGACAATTGCAAATGTTATTTTGAGTCACGAGCAGCCAATTACTTATACCAATAAATACTAGGGGTGCACCGATAAATCGGCTGGCCAATTTATCGGTGCACCGATTTCCTTAATTTTGGGAAATTGGACGATACTTGCATGAGAAACCAATTTTAAACTTTTTTTGTTGTTGTTTTAACAACAATTGTCTGAACTTCCTTTATATTTCAGAGCACTACATCATGGCCAGTTAAAACAAGTTTGTATCATTTCTAGAATATTGTTCATGGGTATGTTTTTCAATAAAATAATATTGGAAAATTGAAGGTGCATTGTGACCTTATAACACCGGGCAGTGTTGCTTATCAAACCAAATCGGTATCGACCAAAATTGGAATCGGCAGGTCAGACTTTTTAGAAATCGGTGATTGGCCGGAAAACTGCAATCGGTGTACCACTAATAAATACCAATCTGTTAGCACTCAGTATGTGTTGGGGATGACTCTCGGCTACTACCACACAACAATTAAGATCAACTTCTTGGTACCTGGATGACTGAGCATTAAATTTGTTGTTTTTTTTAACTAGATTTAATAGCTGTGGTGGCCATATTTAACCAAGTTTGCTCCAAACATCAGTTGTAGCTGAACATGTAATGATTTCTTCTTAGTTTCATTCAAATCTATCCAAAGGCTCATGGGATATTTTACAAACACAGGCCATTACAATAATTCACCAAGCTGGCATGTGATAACAAATTCTGCAACAAACTGGTTAATGCCAATCCCACTTTCACAAAGCCCAAATGGCTTTTTTTGAACATCAGTTCAAATCCCAAAGATTTTCCTTTACATATTAAAATGTTCACACTTCCACAAGTAGGCAGTTCAAATAAACAATCTAATTAAATAGCTCAACCTTATAGCAACCTGTAAATACAGTTCTTCTTGGTTTCTGTGGTTTTAGCTGTTTTCATCTGCAGCTTTTTATATTTGGGCTGACAGAATTGCTCAGGATCATAGCACAACACTCACTGACTAACTGTAGCAATCTACAACTAAACAGTTCCTACAAAACAACATGTAGAAATGTCCCACTGTTAGAAGCAAGAAAATAATAATTAAAGGCCAACAGTCAGTGTGCTAAAGTTTTAACAAAGATCTTATGAAATGAGAGACACTTGGATGTCTCGTGAATAACTCAGCTAAAACTACAACAAAAAGTTAGAAGAATGTGCATAAAATTGAGCATTAGAGCCATTTAGTGTTTTCTAAGGTAGTTAGCTGTGGCAGCCATCTTGAATTGGGTTGGCTCTAAAACCTAATCAGTTGTAGATTTATATCTTATGACTATTGCCTGAACACGTCTTTAAAATGAAGATGTTTCGCTAACATAAACAGAAAATATGGACGCCAAAGGATTATCGTAATAGCAAAATTTTAAATAAAGCTCTTGCTAAATTTGTCAGTGCTCATATTGAGTTATAGATTCGTCTCAGCTACTACCAAACCAAATTTAAACTAAATATTGGTAATACTGAAAGAGTTATAGCCAGTTTTGTGTTGGTTTTTAAGGTCATTTGGCTGTGGCTTTCATCTTGCTCCAGCAGTTAATCAGTTGTAAATGTACATCTGCAAAAACATTATTGCTAACCTTCGCTTTTAGGCAATTATAATTTAATAATAGTAATCCCTACTGACTATGACTTTGTGCCAGTCAGGCAATAATATTATATTTGATTAGTTGTCAAGTGAGTAGAAAAGGGCTACACTAGAAGGCCTCTGCCTGGCCTCCCTCTACATGGCTGGCCCCTCATTACTGTAATTGACACGTTCATCCCTCCTCTTCCCCCTTAAGGCGCTGATGACTCAATTGAGAACTGGCCGAAGGACCAATTGGACACCAACGTAATGAGGTCGCAGCTCAGCTACCACGTAACCTCGCATCAAATCAAATTTACACAGTAACTAAAATCCAAGAGGCAGAAAAGACTTGATCTACACATCAGTCAAGGGAAGTACAACACCATTAAACTAATACATTTTGATCAAACCAATTATGTCGTTCTTTAAAGAGGGACTAGTCTCGTTCCTAACAAATGAGCCACAAATATGTTTGAATCATCATTCAAGTTATGCAATCCCTAAATGTTCCTCTGATGAGAAAGGGTGCAATGAAGCTCATATTAGGCATCTGTCTGTTTTGGAACAGTCTAATTAGTGGCAGTGACCTTTAGCAGATTATGCACTAGTCTATGAAACGTACCCCAGCCTTGAGATAAATGGTTTAAGTCTTAAATATGGATTTCAGTGAGGTTTGCTCGTTTGCAGCTCTCAGACAATGGTTCGAGAAAACCATAATGTTGATTTCCACCAAATTACATTTTTGCATCAAGCTGAGAATTTAAAAAAAAGCAATTTGCTTTTTTTTAACGAAACGATTTGACGACCGTTTCATAAAATATCAAAGTGAAGAAAATACTGTGACTCTGCGAGGCCAAGAAAGTTAGCAAAGGAATTCTTGCTTGCTTGGAAAGTTACACGATTAGGAATTTCTCAGTTTTGATGAAAACGTCAAACCAAATGATCTTTTAACACGAGACTGTCCCAATTTTAACCAGATGTACCTCGTATCAAACAACGATCGTGAAGCTTTATATATGAAAAGTATTCAGTACTAATAAAGATTAAAACCTCTAATTATGTGGCATTTGGATGATCCATCACCATTCAATGTTCTTTAATGGCTAACATCCCTGTAGTTTAGTATCTTGCTTAAAATTCTTTGATAAAATTATATCTGTAGCTGAAACCGAATGACAAAATGTAAATTCAACTAAATAAAATAACAAATAATAAACATTAAAACCACAAATGCTCCTGCCTAGGTTTATCCATACTTTTCTACTCACACATGCTCTGATTTTGTTATCAATTGTGTTTTTGCAATGTAAATCAGTGCCAAACATCCAATTTGATTCCCTTATCTAACATTTTAAACAAAAACTGGTTTCAAAAAGCACAACTGATGGTAGAAATATATGCAAGCATCACTGAATAACCCTACCACTGAGGGAAAGGTGCCATGAGTGTTGTTTAAAGCCATTAAATTAAAAAAAAACAATCGCTTTCTTGTAGGAATTACAGCCAGACAGTGGTTCTCCAATCAAGCCCGGCGGAGACACAGGAGCCACTGCAGTCTGAACAATAAAAGTGACATTTTAAATCAAGAAAAACAGGTGGTAATGTCAGCACCGGGGTTTCAAAGCTCCAGATGTAATGGATCCATCTGCAGCAGTGGATCACCTTGTCAAACTGGCCTACTTCTTGCCCAGCAGCTTCTGTATCTACCCTGGAAAGCCAGAGACAAATCATGCCAGAACTGAATCCATCAAACAGACCACACTGAGTGTTGTTGGGTGTCAAAATGTGTAGTTTAAGAACACAGTTTGACCTAAAAGGCCGTACAAAGATCAAATAGCAGAAGTGATCCTGGCTTGTCTAAATAAAATCTGACTTGTTTTGTTTAACAATCTATCTTACTTCAATATGAATCCCGTTCAAAGCTTAACCAGGCAGGAAAACAGCAGCTTTCCTCGGGCTTTTCTTAAGAGTTAGCTTCCAAATCGCAGCTAGCTTCGAACAATAGCTCCCTTTTTTTTTTTTTTGAAGCGCCGTAAATACATTTTCTGACAACAAGCTAATAATGATCGCTGTCAGATCTGGTCTGTGAAGTCCACATGAGCTTAAAAATCACGTTTTCTTCAAAGCAAAGTGGGATCGGGGCTGTTTTAGCTGCACCCCAGAGCCGGGGTGACAGACTGAGCAGGCCAACTGACGGCAGACAGGTAACCCCTTCATGCTTTATCTGACATGTTGGAAGCCGAGGCTGGTGTCATATCGTGTGGACGGATTTCAACTAATTAAACACTCTTCTTTAAGACAACTTGACACGGGCTGATTTGACAACGCAATGGACGAGCTAACATTACTGTACACAGGCCGTTTCATAATTTTCTAGTTACCAGTCTGACCGACAGCCATTACCTTCCTGACTCTCCGTAGAACTCGGTAAGACGAGCTGGCGTACGCACTACTTTCGATCAAAATGTGAACATACAAGGTTTAAATTCGGACTGCCAACCTACCTTATACTGTTCAGTAGAATAATGCTTACTACTTCGTTGTACACAAATCGTAAAACGGAATTATCTTTACCCGTAAAAGGGGAAAAAAAAGACGCAGGAAGGAAATGTATCACTCCACTTACCATGAAATATTGCTGGTAAAAAGCGAAATTAGGCCTGCCTCCGCCTGCTCCAAGGATGGACCCGTGTTGATTAAGAAGCGGTAACTACAAACAATGAAGCGGCGTTTCTATTTACATCAAAACGCGGCATTTTATTCCACTTTTATGTTGCTGTAACTACACTGTCCACCCAAGCGACAACCGCGTAGCCAGTGTACAATCGACGTCATTGACATTATTCTGTGATTGACCCGTCTGTTATCCAATAGGAAGCCGACTTGCCAATGGTATGTCCAATCACAGAGCAGTAACGTCTGAGGGGCGGTCCCTGAGAGAGGACATGACGGAGGTGACGGCCATGTTCTGCCATAGTGTTTGTATCCCTCCGCCTGAGTATTTACCTTTTGCATGATTTTGCATGTGGGGAAAATGCCACTGTAGCTGTTCGCTGTCTGCTTTCCGTAAGACAACCCGCTAGGCCATTTGTTTTTCTCGTCTGAATTCACCACAGTCCTGAATGCCCAAAGTAAACACTTCTCAGCGCGTTTTTTTTTTTTGAGGCTGCAAAAAATTAAAGTGACGAAGGAAGAAAATGAGTAGGGGTTCAAAATGTGCTCCTAGGACAAGCTGGTTAAACATTCACAGATTTGTTTAGCACATATATATATTTTTTTATAATAGATTCGACTCTTTGTAAATTTGCTTATGTAAAGGACACATACAAATAAGCAAATAAGAAAATGAATCATGAAAAATATGTGTGTGTACTCAAACTGTGAAATTATATCCTTTTTTGGTATGATTTAAGTTCATACAAAAGCCCTTTCCCCCCATTTATTTTCTGTCCAGTAAGCTACTAATTGATTTTAGAGACTTTTTTTTTTATCCCTTTACTGTAATTTATGAATCGTCCTGACATAAATAAGCGCCTAATCTGAAAATATATGAACCTATGTTGACACATAGACAATACCACAAGTACCAGGATCTTTAGGCAGATTTTACCAGCAGCCTTTCACCAAAAATAACTATTTGTTCCCATTGTTTAAATCAAATCAATATCTGATGTCAAATATTACACCGTTTGAGGGTCATAAGACAGTATCTTTAGCTCCAAAATGTTATTTCCAAAGAGTTATTAGCTGAAAAATTGTTATGATCAGCTGAAGGATGCATCAGGTGCTGTTTCAGGTCTTTGCTGGACAAAATACGTCTTTCACTGGGAGCATATTACGTATAAATTAAATGTGGATTCAAGTGTTTACACCGTACTTTTTAATATTTGTGTCTATCAGTCTCTGAAAGCATGGACGGTGCACCAACAACCCCTGAGGACTGATACATAAAAAAGCTAATTTATTTAGGAAAAGCAAAGGCTGAAATGTGCACTCTTTTTGTGAAATGTATACAATTAGTTTTCTTTTGTTGTGCTTTGTAAAGGTTAGTCATCATTAAATGATAAACACATCCACCAGCCTGATTTGCATCCCCCCCCCCCTTTAGCAACGCATGGATGCAGACACTCCCCATCCTTCATTTGCTTATAAAAATAAAGATTGCTCCACAAGTTGCTCGACTAAAGCAACAGAAACAGCTGCAAAAATGAAGCACAGGTTTACAAAATGGGAAGGTGAGACGCTTCGCAAAGGAAAAGAAAAATGAAATTGGATTTCGAGCAAATTCTAACATACTAAAGAAAGTTCAACACCAAAAATACAGAAGCGTGATCATCACAAACAGCTGTTTTTAGAGCTGAGTAATGTTTCTGATGGTATGAATCATTAATTTTAGAAAAACGTTATCCGTCACTTTCAGCTGAAGCTCTTGGACTTGAAGTTTCTGGATCCCATGGCAGGACCTAATGCAGGATAATATAAGAAACTAGCATTTCTTGAAGGAATGCATATCACCTGCCACCTTTCATGCCAAAAACCATCCAGATGACCTGACTGAACTTTGTTGGATTTTTTACCTGGATTATTGAGCATGGACTTTGATGTTTTGAATCACTTTGGCTATGGCTGCCTCAGAGGAGTCCAGAAACCATCTGGGCACCAGCAAACTGGTTGGCCCACTATGTGACTGTGCTGCTTGTGGGACTGTGTTTATTGTAGTGCCCCGGACTGATGAAGTCCTTTGGATGAAGGACAAACAACAAAAAAAGAAACCGTCCAGATAACTCGACTAAACTTAGTTAGATTTTTTTTTTACCTGGATTATGAACTTTGATATTTCATGCCAGAGTTTAGTCATTTATGCTGCTAGTTTCATTGAGTTTACCGTAGTTTTGCCAGACTAATATCCTTGTTTGTTGAGATAAGATGTTGCATGCAACACTGCGATTTCACAGAGTACGTGTTTTGAATGACTCTCGGTTACTACCACATCACTTTTTAGCTCAATATCTGATCAATTAACAGAGCTACAGCCATAGCTGTGGCAGCTATCTTGAATTGAACTGACTCCAAACGTTAACCACTTGTAGATGTACATCCATGGACTATTTCCTGAAAATTTCATTCAAATTTGTCCAATTTTTTGCTAACAGACCAACAGATTGGTCTACAAATAAGCAGAAAATAAGCAAAGATCTTATCTGTTGGTGCTCTGGGGATCCGTTTTAGCTGCTGCCACACTCTGCTTTAAAAGACCCGAACTATCTCTTTAATGCTTAGTTTTAACCAGAGACCTCTTAATGCTCTGTTAATGTTTTAGTCCAGAGCGTCCAAATTAAATGTCAAGTAATTAAATTAATGCACCGTAATTGCCACGTGGTGTAAGACTTTGGACCCCCTGCAGTGCAGTTGGACGTTCTGCCTGGTTGGTCGTCAGGCTTGAGTAATTATAACTTCACTGTCAAACATCGGGCCCTTGAATCTTAATTTAATAAAGTAGTCCCTGGTTTTTATTTTATTTTAGATTTTTAACGAGGACGGACACCGTGATTAAAATAGACAAAAGGCAACAAAGAAAGCAGATACATGTTTGATTTGAACACTTTGCAGTCAGTTTGTGACTTTCTGTTTTCTGTTGGTTCATATTTTCTGCTTCAGGTTGTTAGTGTGGTCTAACAGCTCAGTTGTCTCATTTTACTTCGCCTCCGTGTCACATTTGATAACGTTTTGTCTCAGATTTTTGCCTCACGCTTCGTTTTTAATCCCATTGCGTGTCACATTTTGAGTCAGCCTCTTTGTCGTCTTACAGTTTGCTTTACGTGCAACAATCTGAGCACATCGTGCACAGGGTGTGCAGACAGTTTTTCGGTTATATAATTGTGTTTGTGTGAGTGCGTTCTTTGGCTGTCTGTTAGCAAAATATCTCATGAACCAGTAGACAAATTCAAATGAAACTCTTCGAAATCAATCCTTACATGTACATCTCTAACTGATAAATCTTTGGAGTCTACCCAATTCAAGATGGCCGCCACAGCTAATAAACTTCATGAAACATATAAATGGCTATAACTCAGTCACTTTTACAGATATTGATCTAAAAATTGCTGTGGAGGTCACTAATACTCTGAGCACAAACAAAATACAGTCAACATCTGCCTGTTAGCAAAATATCTGATGAACCAGAGGACAGATGTTAATGAAACCTCCAGGAAATAACCACTGAATGTGCAGCTGATTAACTTTTGAAGCTGTCTGTCGCATCTATTGACCAAACACACAAAGGACTCTAGCTCAGTCAAGCTTGCAAATACTGAGCTATAATTTGGTGAGGTAGTAGCTGAGAGTCATACTTGGAGTGAAATCTGATTGTGCAAAAATATTTGTTTAAAGCTTTGGAAAGCCCGAACAAAGTGCTTTATTTTCCCATGTAAATAACATTCACTAATTGTGTAGTTTAGCTTGTTGTGACTTAATAGTTGAAAAATAATTTGCGTCGTCTTTTTAAATGGAATAGACGAGGGCAATAACGCATTTCAGCTGTTTGTGGTAAAAGCTGTACTAACTGTGATGTTAAAAGAATCCAAAACTTATGTAAGACAAGGAAACAAACACATTTATTTCACGTTTACTTGATTAGGGTCTGGACGTCAAACAGCAGTTCAGTCTGCAACTGAGCGTCTAAAACAACTGGTTTTAAAGGATGTTCTACTTCTCACGACACGATGCTCACGTTGTTCTACTCTCCTGTCTTTCTAGGCCTGTTCGTCCTTGGGGCTGCAGCAGAGCCAGCACTGATGGAGAGGAAACGGCTCAACAAAATAAAACGTATTACATCATGGGGGTCCTCACGAGGATCAGAAGCGAAATATCAAAGCCTGGCTTGATCTTAATTTTGCAAAAACTACAAAAAGCCACAGAGGTGAGTCACAGTCATAAGCAGCACAAAAGCAGATATTGTAGTTTAGAATGAGAGGATGTCTGAGAAATACACAAAGTGAAGAAACCGCCTGAAACACCTCAAGATGCTAAAAACTTTGCAGTGACGTGCATGCGTTGACAATTTTTATCTTAGTTCCAGCATAAAAAATGGGCCAAAGTGTTAGAATTCATGATTTTTGTTAATAATCTTTTGTGTTTTCTGATAAGTTTAATGATATTTAGTGGGCCTTGTGTTTATTCATGTTCCTCTGTGCCTACATTCCCTCCTTCTCGACTCCACTCAGTCAGTCTGCTTCACCGTTCAGCTTCTCCACTTTCTCATCAGCGCTCTCCAATGTGTTCTGTCCGTTCTCTTCGTTCACCAGTGCATTGCTGACGTTCAAGTTCAGTCTTGACTTCTTGTAGGATTCTTTGAGCATATATCATACACTTCACAGTATGACTTATTTACCATGCACTACCAGAATGAAGAGTTTCAGAACAAGATAGTTTATTGTTTGACCATCCATACGACGGTGTAAACCTGAGAGGTCACCAGAGGTCATCTGCATGCTTCACTTTCTCATAGCTGTTAACTAAAAACAAACCAAAGTGCGCTCCATGCACGCCTGCACACATTTGACTACTCTTTTAAAGTCTCGTTTTATCAGGAACTCTGCTGCTGCTTGTATCTCCAAGAGCTCACCGAGGACTTTTCTCGCTTTGAATCGATTTCAAACTGAATTTATGCAGCAATAACGAAATAAACTCTTAGCTTGCTTCCTTCTTATAGCAGGTTTATCTCTGTAATATCAATAAATGTAAACAGAACAGGGACATGTCATACACATGTGGTGGAACAAGATTATACACAAGGTCCCAGTTACAATAAAATGTAAAAGAAAAACAGAA